CCTGCCGCCCTTTCTTTTAGCATGTGCAGGTAATAAGTACACCATCATGCTTTCGGGGACATGTGTCTTTTCAGATTCAACAATGATTATTTAGTTGTGGACACTACATCACCACACTCTCTCTCTTGCTCTTGGTCCTCATCTTTGTAAGTCACCTGGATTTTGGACCTGTGTGTTTTATCAGTTTCTTTATGAAAATATTTTGGGAACTCCATGACAGTAGCTCAAGCAAGGGGCTATAGCAGCACACAAGTAGACTACAAATGCATGCTGGGCCAGGCATGCGCTGAGCTAGTGAAGTGAGAGCCACTGGAGCACTACTGGAGCGAAATTGGAGCGGCCTTGGCCGATGCTCCAGCCTTTGGGGATCTCGCTCCATGCTCCAGTCAGATTGTTTCTGAGCGGGAACTATGCTTCCGCAGAGGTAGGGGAGCCAGCAGGCCAGAGGTGGATGAACGCAGTGCCCTCGTTTGGGTGTAGGGACTGATCAGAGCCTGAAGGTACGGAGTTGCCGTTCCCCTCACAGCTCCGTAGGCAAGCACCATGGACTTGTAGCAGATGCGAGCTTCAACTGGAAGCCAGTGGAGTGTGCGGAGGAGCGGGGTGACATGAGAGAACTTGGGAAGGTTGAACACCAGACGGGCTGCAGCATTCTGGATGAGTTGTAGGGGTTTAATGGCACAGGCAGGGAGCCCAGCCAACAGCGAGTTGCAGTAATCCAGACGGGAGATGACAAGTGCCTGGATTAGGACCTGTGCCGCTTCCTGTGTAAGGCAGGGTCGTACTCTGCGAATGTTGTAGAGCATGAACCTACAGGATCGGGTCACCGCCTTGATGTTAGCGGAGAACGACAGGGTGTTGTCCAGGGTCACGCCAAGGCTCTTCGCACTCTGATATAATCAGGTCTGTTTCATTTATATTGAAATCAATTATATCAGTAGCAAGATTTGGACCCCCATTAGCTGCCTTGGCAACAGCTAATGGGGATCCGGAATAATATACATATTTTTTTAAATACCTTCGGTCCTCCTCATCTTCACGCTCTCCCTCTCAAACTGATCAGGACATCAGTGGGCCCAGCAGCGCAAAAAAACTCGGGAAAGAAGTACATTTTCTTGGAATATAACTTTGCCCTGTGCTTCTCCAAGCATGCTCTTAGTATAGCCCAGGCCTATAGGCCATAGATCAGGCACACATGAGATACTGTCCTATAATAAGCAACTAATTTCCAAACCCTGAGCAATATGACATTTAAATCGATTACAAATTACATGACCCTGGATTAAATAAATAAAAACACTAAACCCTCCCCCTGACTGAACTTGAAAAAGCATGACCCTCCCCCATTTTCCTCTGGGTAACCATTGTGTACATTTTAATCTTTCACTTACATTAGCAATTTTTTAATAAGTCTATGTGCTATTTTTTTTTTTGCCTAAATTGCCTAAACATTTTCATCATATTTGTTTAGTGAAAACTCTTACATTCTGTTTAAACAGAAAATAAAGGACAATTGTTGTTACAGGAGGGGGGTCGCAGTTCCGGAGCGACCCACCAGGTGTCATCCTCCGACAACCTTAGGCACCTTCTCACTCACAGTCTAGACTAATCAGTATCCTATTGGTGTCGCCTGTGTCTACCTTTTTACCTGTGCATTTATGCCATCACTTCCCTGTGTTCCCTTGCTCAGTTTTCTCTGTTAGTTTCTCTATGTCCAGCAGTACTACTCAGTGTCTGATCGGAGACCTATGTGCAGGTACTTGAGAAGTGTTCTCCCTGTTTCGTTAATTGTTTCAGTCGTAGGTAGTATTTCATATTTTGGCTGTCAGACGGTCTTTGGAGTCCGTTATTTTGTATTTTGGCTTCGGGACCACAAGTAAAGATCCTTGTTTCACCATCTCTGCCTACTGCCTACTGTATATCCTGGGTCACCTGGGTCACACCTCACACCAACCCTTACAAATTGTTAGGCCTATCTAGCTTAATGTAAACACATGCCTACCAGTACAAAATAAAATCTGTTTTCTTTTGAAATTACTATAAGCATTTTGGACTTATCTTTGCTAGCAAATATATTGATGGTATCTGGATACATTGTATGATTATTGATCTGGATAGATTGCCCCCAAGATTGCACCCTACTCACAAAATCTAAAATCGTCCTGCTTTGCTCTCAGAAGCAGAGCGCAGCTGAAAGGAGTGGTAACTGGGGTGGGGTGGGTGTTAAGGTGGATCAACTGAAGTTGGGGATCCCTGGCATCTGTGATGCATGCCGTTTGGTGGCGAGTGCGAGATTGAGGAGACCCTGTCTATCCTTCTGAGTTTTGATGCAGAGTGTTTGACGGAAAAAGTATTGCTAGGGTGTATATAAGTGGTATTAAAATTGATTTAATTGTAATTTGGTCAACGATCTACACAAAATGTCAAAGTGGAAGAGAAATTCTAACCTTATTTATAATTATGAAAAATAAAACTCTAATATATATTTTTTTAGATAAGTATTCAACCCCCTGAGTCAATACATGTTAGAATCACGTTTGGCAGCGATTACAGCTGTGAGTCTTTCTGGGTATGTCTCTAAGCGCGTTGCACACCTGGATTGTGCAATATTTGCACATTATTATTTTTAGAATTCTTCAAGCTCTGTCAAGTTGGTTGTTGGTCATTGATAGACAGCCATTTTCAATTTAAGTTAAAACTGTAACTAGGCCACTCAGGAACATTCAATGTTGTCTTAGTAAGCAACTCCAGTGTATATTTGGCCTTGTGTTTTAGTTTATTGTGCTTCTGAAAGGTGAATTTGTCTCCTAGTGTCTGTTGGAAAGCAGACTGAACCAGGTTTTCCTCTAGGATTTTGCCTGTGTTTAGCTCTATTCCGTTTCTTTTTATCATCAAAATCTCACTAGTCTTTGCTGATGACAAGCATACCCATAACATGATGCAGTCACCACCATGCTTGAAAATATGAAGAGTTGTACTCAGTGATGTGTGGTGTTGAATTTGACCCAAACATAATGCTTTGCATTCAGGACATCAAGTTCCTTTCTTTGCCAATTTTTGCAAACAGGATGTATGTTTTGTTAGTTATATGTACAGGCTTCCTTCTTTTCACTCTACCAATTAGGTTAGTATTGTGGAGGAACTACAATGTTGTTGATCCATCCTCAGTTTTCTCTTATTACAGCCATTTAACTCTCTAACTGTTTTAAAGTCACCATTGGCCTCATGGTGAAATCCCTGAGCAGTTTCCTTCCTCTCCAGCAACTAAATAGGTCTCCCGAGTGGTGCAGTGATCTAAGGCACTGCATCGCAGTGCTAGCTGTGCCACTAGAGATCCTGGTTCGAATCCAGGCTCTGTCGTATCCGGCCGCGACCGGGAGACCCATGGGGCGGCGCACAATTGGTCTAGGGTAGGGGAGGGAATGGCCGGCAGGGATGTAGCTCAGTTGGTAGAGCATGGTGTTTGCAACGCCAGGGTTGTGGGTTTGATTCCCACGGGGGGCCAGTATGATAAATATAAAATAATGTATGCACTAACTGTAAGTCGCTCTGGATAAGAGCGTCTCGTAAATGTAAATTAGGAAGGATGCCTGTATATTTGTAATGACTGGATGTATTGATACAAAAAAAAGTTTACCTAACTACCAATACGTGCCCTTCTTTGTGAGGCATTGGAAAACCTCCCTGGTCTTTGTGGTTGAATCTGTTTGACTGAGGGACCTTACAGATAATTGTATTGGGTACAGAGATGAGGTACATTTACGTCATTTAGCAGACGCTCTTATCCAGAGCGACTTACAGTTAGTGAATACATTTTACTTTTAAACTGGGCCCCCGTGGAAAACAAACCCACAACCCTGGCGTTGCCATGCTCTATCAACTGAGCTACATCCCTGCCGGCCATTCCCTCCCCTACCCTGGACGACGCTGGGCCAATTGTGCGCCGCCCATGAGTCTCCCGGTCGCGGCCGGCTGCGATAGAGCCTGGATTCGAACCAGGATCTCTAGTGGCACAGTTAGCACTGCGATGCAGTGCCTTAGACCACTGCGCCACTCAGGAGTAGTCATTAAACAATCATGTTAAACACTATTATTGCACAGAGTGACTCCATGCAACGTGTAATGTGACTTGTTATTCCTCAACTTATTTAGGGGTTGAATACTTATTGACTCAAGACGTTTCAGCTTTCATTTTTTATTTATTTGTAAAAATTTCAATAAACATAATTCCACTTTGACATTATAGGGTATTGTGTTTAGGCCAGTGACAACAAAATCTAAATGTCATCCATTTTACATTCAGGCTGTAACACAACAAAATGTGGAAAAAGTCAAGGGGTGTGTGAATACTTTCTGAAGGCACTTGAGTCAGATGGCGGTACAATTTCCCTTACCATCCCCCCACCCAACATAGCGTCTAGTCTGCCGGAAAGACACGAAGAAGAAGAAGAAAATCCAAAATCAGTTACTGCGCATGTCTGTTTTAAGAAAGTACGTGCAAAGATGCTTATAACTAAACCAAGATAGACCACAGCCTTTCGTTTCAAACGCGAACAAAGGAGGCATAGTGGGCAGAGCCAAGCGCGTTCTACCATCTATTAGCATATTTCCGTTGGGGAACGCCTAGTCTGTGAAATGAGCGTGTGCAATAGCGCAATTCGCCTTTGCACTCCTTCTAAACAAAGCATTTTCTTTTTTTCTTTTGGCAAACTTTGGTAAAGTCTACAAAGCTGTTCGAAACATATTGTAGTTTCGGGAAAAGAAAACTGTATTGAGATCAAATGTTTAATCGATTAGTAAAATGAACAGTGTCGGCCAAAATCCACCTCGTTCTATCTTCTCCCACTGTCGTCCAATGGGCTTCCTCGCTAACCGGATTCTTCACATTAATACATCCGGTGAAATGTCTGCCTCATTGTTCTGTCTGTGCTCGGCGTCCGGTGAAGTTAAGCGAAAGCTCAGATATGGAGGAAGATATTGTTACAGAGCCCGGCGTTAGTATGGAGGACAAAATAGAAGTGGAAGCTGGAGAAAATCAATTTGAACGTTATTTATACGCTTTACGGAAGGAGTTAGAACACCAAGACCCCATATTTATTATCGGGATTATTGTTTCTTTGGCTGTTGTTGTCATCAGTTTTGGTAAGTTAGCTAGCTAACCTAGCTAGCTACCCTAAACTACTTCCAGTTCACGTTAGCTAGCTCTCTAGCTAGCCTCACATCCTCGGGAACAGAGTGAATGTAAATCCGTATTTAAGTTGTCGCTAGGCAGGCTTCAGCCTGCTATCTTTCTGTGCTGTGAGATTTTATTTTATCAAGACAAAAGAAGCCTGCTAACTAACAATCTAAGGTTAGCTAGCTGGGGAAGTTAGTTAGCTTACTAGTTACCAACAGCTGTCACTAGCATCTATCTAGCTAACCTTACTGTACTATGCTGTTTATCAGGTGCTCGTCTGTTACATGTTGTCAACTTTGTATGGTAGCTAAAATCAAACCGAAACATCTATGATTGGTTTACATTTTAGTGTTGTTTAAGTACTTCCTGAGCAGCAAAACTGTCCAAAGTGGTGTTCTGCTGGTTGGTCTCTGCGATTCTGGAAAGACCCTTCTCTTTAGTCGAGTGAGTACTTCATCAGTATAACATCTAGCATGCCCATTCCAACTATTTGCATAAGTTTACAGATGGCAGAAGTTGTACGAAACTGATGATGTTCTTTATTTCCAGTTGATGTCAGGAAAGTTCAAGAAGACACAGACCTCCATCACATACAGCAGTGCCCCCTACAAAGCCAAGAACGAGAAGGTAAGGAGGCAACTACGGTATGGTGGTGAGGGAGTGGGTTGAAGGATCAGGATCTGGAGCGATTGTTTTAAATTTTATGACAAATGCATTTGTCAACTGTGTCACTCAACTGGCTTGACCGTCCCCTGTCCTTCCTCACTGTGTGCAGGGCAGCAGCTGGACTCTGATCGACCTCCCTGGACATGACAGTCTTCGTCCGAAGTATGTGGAGAAGTTCAAGTCTGCAGCCAGGTGAGTAAAGATGAGGGTGTTTGTATTCAGGGAAGGTCTATAATATGAAAAGCACTGTGGTTGACCTAAGAACAAGATTCCGAAAGACACCCTTTCACTTCCTTTTGTTCTCTCCTCTCTTTGACTGCAGGGCCATAGTCTTTGTGGTGGACAGTGCCATCTTCCAAAAAGAAGTGAGAGACGTGGCAGAGTTCCTGTACTTCCTGTTGACTGACAGTGCAGTGTCCAGGAATGTCCCCTCTCTGATAGTGGCCTGCAACAAGCAAGGTGACACGACACATTTTTTTAACCTTCCCGCTCCCTCCACAAATACCCCCCCCCCATCATTACGTTATGCGTGTTAATTATTTAGTGATTTTAAAGCAGTTTAATATATTTTTCCTCTCTAGATATCACCATGGCAAAATCTGCTAAACTGATTCAGCAGCAGCTGGAGAAAGAGATGTAAGTAGTCCTCCTTTTACCAACGACAACAACAACATGATTCTACAGAATGGACTGAATTGAAATGGAATTGATCCCAACCTTTCCTGTTTCCCTCAGGAACACATTGAGAGTGACACGGTCTGCGGCTCTGAGCGCCCAGGACGGGTCTACGGGGGCCAGCGTGCACCTGGGGAAGAAGGGCAAGGACTTTGAGTTCAGCCAGCTGCCCATGAAGGTGGAGTTCCTGGAGTGCAGCGCCCGCGGCAGCAAGGGGGAGGACGGGGAGGCAGACATCGCCAGCCTTGAGAAGAGCCTGGCCAAGCTGTGAGATGGCTGCGTCTCATTATTCACCATCTAGTTCCCATATAGGTCACTACTTTGGCCAAGAGCCCTTGCGTAGGTGCACTATTGAGAATAGGCTGTGTTAGGATATTTGCCCAAGGATATCAGGTGTGTCTCAACAGTCTAAAGTCTCTCTTCAGGACTCCAGACTCAAATCACCACTATACTATGGAAGTGAATAGCTTTTTGTGCTGACGTCACAAGGTCAGCAGTGGCACTTGATGTAGTGAATGCCAATTTGCAAAAAAAAATAATCTGATAATACAAAAAAAAAGTATTTGCTTGTCTCCAGCAGGTGTTGTTGCTATACGTTTCAGTATTTTCACTATATTTCCCTAAATAGTTTGCAGCAAAAAAATTATACAAATAAAAACCAGGATAGTAAAACGTTTTCAGTGTAGAAAAAATTATGGAGCTATATATTTTTGTGTAAGATCTTTGAGAACTAACAATGTTAATGTGATGAGATATTTACTGACCCACCTCCATTACATTACAACAGTTTTGTATTCCAAAATCAGCTTTGTTCCTTTCTGGAACAGTTTAGTTGAATGTTCATCAGTTTGTATAGTTCTCCAGTGCACTAACATTTGAGGGAAAGTTGACCATGAATCTGTACGACCGTGTTACCCAAATAGGAATGCTGTTTATGTTTTCTTATTCAGTTTGTAAATAAAATCTGTTTACAGATTTGGGGAAATTTGTTGTCGTTGGTGAGTACAACATCATGGTGCCCGTTCTGTGAAAGAATAGCCTACTGACAAGTTTGAGTCATACACATGGCAAAACTTTAATTGGCAAATATCAAGCAATAGTTATTTGGTTTTTACCTGTTATAACTCACTCATACATCTTTTCCTAGCTGCTGATATGTTAAGAGTGATATTGACGACTGTAAAATACAGTGAGATTTGAGCGTCCCTCATGACGGTTAAGTCAACTGCAATGGCTCTGGTGTTGAGGACTTCCAACCAAGGGGTTGTGGCTAGATGGAGTACATCCGAGTCGTATCGGGGACAACTGTAGCATTTTAGTTAACCTCAACCCTTTTCCTAACCTTAACCTAATTCTCCTAACCTTGTTACGTAAAGTCACTTTTGTCCATAGCTGTACTCCATCTAGCCAAAACCCAACAATATAACACAAATATAGATAGCAATATATACATTCAGGAAGAAGAAGATAAAACACTCAGCATATCTGTAATTAGCTACATTTGAGTAAACTGATGACAAATATCCTATCACACCAACATACCTACACTCTTACCTGCAACAATACTAGTGTCTAACGGAGTGAGATTATACCGGATAAACTCAAGCACAGCTTGAAATGTCACCAATCAGTGGCACAACTGGTTTGCACGTTGTCAAGCGAGGCAGAGGACCTCGGTTCAAGCCCAGTCAGAGGCAAGTTGAGGTGATGCTGCTAAGCTAGCGACACCGGTTATATCTGCCTAAACCTGACATGGCACAGTCTTATCATGGGGGAGCCGTATGGCCGTGGACCTCAGGATACGATATCACAATACTTGGGTGCCGATATGTATGGCGATTCTCACGCTTCTATATGTATTGCGGTTGGATACTGTGATTCTATGTTCGAAACATATTGCGCACCATATGTCTGCTGCAGAGAGCATGAGAAAATGTGTTTTTATCAGTCATGGAAATAAAAGTGCTGAAAACAAATTGGCTCCCTATTTAAAAAGAAGATGGAGAACAAGCTATGAAGGAAAAATACTAGAGTTTTGGTGCAGGTATGGCCAACTAGCGCAAAAATAACATTTTGTTGGGGTTGGGTTAAATGCGGAAGACATTTCAATTGAATGCATTCAGTTGTACAACTGACTAGGTATCCCCCTATCTGTTTATGGTCCAAAATAATATCCTGATATGTAACTATCGATTTCCCCCCCCCCATGCACACATTAAGTCGCTTTGGATAAAAGCGTCTGCTAAATGGCATATTATTATTATATTATTATTATTATCACTAATGAGCTCCACTCAAACATCTGCATCTTATCCAGAGCGACTTACAAATTGGTGCATTCAACTCATGATAGCCAGTGGGACAACCACTTTTTTTTTATGGGGGGGGTAGAAGGATTACTTTTATACTATTCTAGGTATTCCATAAAGAGGTAGGGTTTCAAGTGTCTCCGGAAGGTGGTCAGTGACTCTGCTGTCCTGGCGTCGTGGGGGAGCTTGTTCCACCATTGGGATGCCAGAGCAGCGAATAGCTTTGACTGGGCTGAGCGGGAACTGTGCTTCCGTAGAGGTAGGGGGGCTAGCAGGCCGGAGGTGGATGAACGTAGTGCCCTCGTTTGGGTGTAGGGACTGATCAGAGCCTGAAGGTACGGAGGTGCCGTTCCCCTCACAGCTCCGTAGGCAAGCACCATGGTCTTGTAGTAGATGCGAGCCTCAACTGGAAGCCGGTGGAGTGTGCGGAGGAGCGGGGTGACATGAGAGAACTTGGGAAGGTTGAACACCAGACGGGCTGCAGCGTTCTGGATACGTTGTAGGGGTTTAATGGCACAGGCAGGGAGCCCAGCCAACAGCGAGTTGCAGTAATCCAGACGGGAGATGACAAGTGCCTGGATTAGGACCTGTGCCGCTTTCTGTGTAAGGTAGGGTCGTACTCTGCGAATGTTGTAGAGCATGAACCTGCAGGATCGGGTCACCGCTTTGATGTTTGCGGAGAACGACAGGGTGTTGTCCAGGGTCACGCCAAGGTTCTTTGCACTCTGGGAGGAGGACACAATGGAGTTGTCAACCGTGATGGCGAGATCATGGAGCGGGCAGTCCTTCCCCGGGAGGAAGAGCAGCTCCGTCTTGCCGAGGTTCAGCTTGAGGTGGTGATCCGACATCCACACTGATATGTCGGCCAGACATGCAGAGATGCGATTCGCCACCTGGTTATCAGAAGGGGGAAAGGAGAAAATTAATTGTGTGTCGTCTGCGTAGCAATGATAGGAGAGACCATGTGAGGATATGACAGAGCCAAGTGACTTGGTGTATAGAGAGAACAGGAGAAGGCCTAGAACTGAGCCCTGGGGGACACTAGTGGTGAGAGCACGTGGTGCGGAGACAGATTCTCGCCACGCCACCTGGTAGGAGCGACCTGTCAGGCAGGACGCAATCCAAGAGTGAGCAGCGCCGGAGATGCCCAACTCGGAGAGGGTGGAGAGGAGGATCTGATGGTTCACAGTATCAAAGGCAGCAGATACAGTGGGGAAAAAAAGTATTTAGTCAGCCACCAATTGTGCAAGTTCTCCCACTTAAAAAGATGAGAGAGGCCTGTAATTTTCATCATAGGTACACGTCAACTATGACAGACAAATTGAGGGAAAAAAATCCAGAAAATCACATTGTAGGATTTTTTATGAATTTATTTGCAAATTATGGTGGAAAGTAAGTAAGTGACTAAATACTTTTTTTCCCCACTGTAGCTCTAGAAGGACAAGAGCAGAGGAGAGGGAGTTAGCTTTAGCAGTGCGGAGAGCCTCCGTGACACAGAGAAGAGCAGTCTCAGTTGAATGACCAGTCTTGAAACCTGACTGGTTTGGATCAAGAAGGTCATTCTAAGAGAGATAGCAGGAGAGTTGGCTAGAGACGGTATGCTCAAGAGTTTTGGAGAGAAAAGAAAGAAGGGATACTGGTCTGTAGTTGTTGACATCGGAGGGATCGAGTGTAGGTTTTCTGAGGAGGGGTGCAATTCTTGCTTTCTTGAAGACGGAAGGGGACATGGCCAGCGGTCAAGGATGAGTTGATGAGCGAGGTGAGGTATGAGAGAAGGTCTCCGGAAATGGTCTCCCGCTTAGAGAAACACAACCTCACCCCATCGCGTCCTCCTCCACTACACCCCCCTGGTTTGTCGTGGTACAGTTTTGAGATGGGACTTTGGGTCATGTTGCAGTCCTATCAGATGGACCCAGATGGTCAGTGTTTCAGTCCTTGTAGGGGAGAACTGTTCTGATAAAGACATTGTTCAGTCCTCCTTAAGGTGGATGTCTCTGGTTAAAAATGGTTTTGTCAGACCAGGCAGCCAGTCCTATAACCCAGGGAGGTATACAGTGCATCCGGAAAGTATTCTGACCCCTTCACTTTTTCCACATTTTGTTACGTTACAGCCTTATTCTAAAATTGATTAAAAAAAAATAATAATAATCTCATCAATCTACACACAATACCCCCATAATGACAAAGCAAAAACAGGTTGTTTTTATGTGTGTGCAAATGTATACACATTTTAAAAACTGAAATATTACATTTACATAAGACTCAGTACTTTGTTGTAGCACATTTGGCAACAATTACAGTATTCAGGCCAAAGAGTTCAATCTTGTTTTCATCAGACCAGATAATCTTGTTTCTCATGGTCTGAGAGTCCTTTAGGTGCCTTTTGGCAAACTCCAAGCGGGCTGTCGTGCCTTTTACTGAGGAGTGGCTTCCATCTGGCCACTCTACCATAAAGGCCTGATTGGTGGAGTGCTGCAGAGATGGTTGTCCTTCTGGAAGGTTCTCCCATCTCCACAGAGGAACTCTGGAGCTTTGTCAGAGTGACCATTGGGTTCTTGGTCACCTCCCTGACCAAGGCCCTTCTCCCCCGATTGCTCAGTTTGGTCGGGCGTCCAGCTCTAGGAAGAGTCTTGGTGGTTCCAAACTTCTTCCATTTAAGAATGATGGAGGCCACTGTGTTCGTCGGGACCTTCAATGCTGCAGAAATGTTTTGGTACCCTTTCCCAGATCTGTGTCTCGACACAATCCTGTCTCGGAGCTCTATGGACAATTCCTTCGACCTCATGGCTTGGTTTTTGCTCTGACATGCACTGTCAACTGTGGGACCTAATATAGACAGGTGTGTGCCTTTCCAAATCATGTCCAATCAATTGAATTTACCACAGGTGGACTCCAATCAAGTTGTAGAAACATTAAGGATGATCAATGGAAACAGGATGCACCTGAGCTCAATTTCTAGTCT